ATGCCCAGATACGAGGAGTGACGACAACCAAAAAGTACAGCGGACTCGACGACGGTGCGGGATGATTACTAGGGAGAAGAAGGAGCTATCGGCTGCTCATTGATCTCAAATCGTGAACATCGGTGCGCCCGTGGAGGTGAGAGGAGAAAGTACCCGACATAAAAGAAAAGAGAAAAGAATCGGTGGAAAACGCTTGAATTAAGGGCTTACTCACTTTCGTAACGCGGCTGTGCTAAGGCAATGAGAGACTGAGCGCGGAGAGGAGAGTATGAGGCGAGAGAGCGCAACAGATGAGAGGGCGCCAGACAACAGCCTGCTGCGGACGGAAAAATTGAAGCTGCTGAAGCTATCTTTGCAAAGCCCTAACGCCTTGTTTTTCGATTTCCACGCGCGAAAGTACCACATCAGTGGTTGCCCTCTAGGAGTCGATTCTACAGTTCGAAAGAACTCGTTCAGCCAACTACTGCCTGGGTTCTGCCTTTAGTTGATACGTATCATAATTTTTGTTTGATAACTGCCAGTCAAACTTTCTGTTGCCACTCTCTTCGCCCTGTAACCCCCATCCGAAAAAATCCGTGGAGCGTTACAGAGGCATAATCCACCCCACAATCGAATTGGTAGCCTCAGGCCGGTGTGATAGTGCGAGTCGCTAGTACCGAATAGCTGGATTCGCAAAGTGATACCGGCCTTACAAAGTAACGACACATCTTTACTGCTGTCCCTAATGAAGCAAGTACATTAAGTTTTACCTCATACTCAAGAATATGTCCAACACCTTCCTTCTCATCGACATTGTCGTTGTCTTCTCCTTTAGACGAAGAGGCGCTTGGATCGTCAGCCATTTCTACGACTTTTTACTGCTGTCCATTTCTTCCACAATGAGTCACGTTTTGTGTATCCACACTATCAATCTAAAAAATGCCACTAATTAAAACAGTGCCAGTTGTGAAAAATGACAGGGAGAAAACAGAAATCACTCTTGCTTCCGTTGAACAAAGGCGTACCGCACTGCGTAAGACAGACGG